TCTTGAGTGACTGGTGAAGTGAATAACTATAGCGTTATCAACATATAAACAAAACATATTCCGAGGAATATATATGGAGGAATCCTTCAGATGAAATCAGTGTACAAAAACAGCACTGCCTCTAATAGTATTTTGAATAGGATGTTTAAGGTGTTAGGGGTCGTTCACACTGACGACGTTAAGTATAACTATACAGTTTTAATAATCACTCTAATTCTATGAGAACAGTGAAGTCCACACCACAGCTATAACAGTGACGACACTATCGTTTAAATCGCTTTAATAAGCTGATGAGCAATAAAAACATTAATAGCCAATCAGAATCCATCTCATTTTAAAGAGCTTGAACATTGGACCTTAGTCTGGTTAGATGCCATATTGAATTTAACATGGATGAAAACAAGTCCATGAGGGATACATTTACAGTCATTATACAGTCTTTATCTAGATCATGTCATTTGAGCAACTCAAAAACTTAGACATTTCGTCAGCTGAACGATCGGTATGTTGTTAAACTACAATTCATTCAGCACACTACTTCTGTGTCTCACAGCCTGGTTTTCATTCCCGTCATAATTAAATATGCCGCTTCTTCAGATGGTCAGATGTTGTAACTGCAGTGCGATTATTGTAAAACGAATGTTATCGACAGTTGATGTGGAGGCTAATATAGTTATCATTATAGTAATTTTCACACTTACCATTCTCGGTGTGAACAGGCCTTTTGTGTTATACTTGTGTGGACTTCACCATTCCTGTAGACTTTGAGTAATTATTAAAACTTTATAGTGTATAAAGTTTTGTGTACTACAATGGTAATGTGTACTACAACGATTGTTGGCTCTTTGATGAATCACTTTGTTCCTCTTTTGTAAGTCACTTTGGATGAAAGCATCTGCTAAATGCATAAATGTAAATCAGTATTGTTATATTTACCATCTAGTAGCAGTTTACAATAATGAATAATCTAACACCTAGGTGTGCTAACATATTATGTTAATATGAACTCATTATGAGTTAAGGAATGTACTAATCAAGAACTAACTTTAACTACAACATTCATGTGTGTAAACTTACCCAAAGTGTTAACTAACAAATATGATCTAACATGTAGTCATTATTCACATATGAATTAATATGATCTATGTCGTAGTTAAGGTTAGTTCTTGAGTAGTGCATGTCTTAGCTTATCATTAGTTCATATTAAAGTACATTTAATTTAGGTATTAGTGCATGATTATTCAGTACTTAAAAAGTGTTAACTACCGTCCTTAGTGTGAATGAGTTTTTAAGTCGTTGTATGTATGTGACAGATGTTGTGATGGTTGAGGCAGGAAAACGAATGAAAAAAAAAGCCAATTTGAACCTGGCATAAGTGGTGATGCCAGGTTAGTGTTAGTAGCATTTCATTTACTGAACTGAAAGCGTAGCACAATACCAACTAAACATAGAACCGCATATGTCATATACTGTATTTAGCACAGATACAAAAGAGAAAAGTTAACCAGGATTTATTTTCTAATTAATGAAGGTGGGGACGCTCATCTTAATGAGAGGGAAACTCAAGCAGATGTTTGCTTGATAAGATCAGATGTGGAGATATGAATAGAAGGTCAATTATGAATTGTAGGTGGAGATTCTTCAGTGGGAAACTCTCATACTTGCTTTTGGTACTTTTTTTCAGGTCAGTCTTTCTAGCATGATTTGCCAGAGTCTCTCTGTTTTCATTTGTTGGGGAGGGGGAAAAGACCGCTGTGCAATGAGATGCATGTGTTTACAACAGGTGAAGGAGTCGGTAAGAAAGAGAAAAAGATAAAGGAAGCAAGATTGAGATCCGACTTTGGGAGCATCGTATTCTCTTCAGTATTCCATCTGTGGAAGAAAAACGGTGAGGTGATATTCTGTATGAGGTTAGCCACAATGATTATGAAATGCCCCGTGCTTTCCCCACCATTGTGCTGTGCACCTGGTACAAACAAGATCCAAACCAAGTTAAAACTGTGGATATGAAAGTAAAACAGTCCAGTTTACATTAGTAGACTGCAGTTGCCTACAACATAGGCAGCTGCCGCTGCAATAGAACCCCAAAAGTGACTGATTTGTTGCTCTCCACATGCACTTTTAAACATAAAAGTTCTTAATTGTCATATATGGTTACATGAAGAACCGTTAACATCCATGGAACCTTTCCATTGCACAAAAAACCTCTTTATAGTGAAAAAAGGTTCTTTTGATTATATAAAATGTTCTACACCCTAAGAGGTTCTTTAGGGAACCCATAATGGTTTTTCTATGGCATCACTGTGAAAACCCCCAATTGGGATCTTTATTTTTAAGAGTGTAGACTCACAATGCAATGTAAATTATACAGTGTAAATCAGGAGGCCACATAATTAAGATCCTTTTGGAACAGTCTTTTGATGCCTTAATATTAGTAACCATAACTAATATCATCAGGTTTTGGAGCAAAGCATGCGAGAAGATAAGACTCCTAGCATGAACTTCTCTAAACATGTGTGAAACTTGCATAACATGGAATAACAAGTCATGGAAAACCTATAAATATCAAGGAATTTTACAATGCCCCAAGCCTGGAATAGGCTTTCCTGGGACAGGTGTTCTAAAACAAATCCCAAAAGTCATGGAAAATAGTCTATATGTTTGTATGTTGAAATACATCTGTTTATTCTTGTCTGCAAGCCTTAATGATGCCTGATTTGTAAGTAAATCATTGTTTAGAGTCACTTTTTTTGATAAATCATTCAAACAAACTCACAAATCATGTGATTGATTCATAAGCAAATCAATATTAAAATGTTTTTAAAGTATCTTACACAATAACCAAAAATATCTGGAAAGGTCAAGATGTGTGGGAACAATGACTACTGGAATTATTTGCATACTGTTTACTACACTTTTACCATATTGATATTGGACTCAAAGGCACCTATGTTTGTTTGTAGGCTAACTCATTTACATTTTTAGGGAACATGTTTTATGGAATAAACAGCCACTTGTGTCACAGTTTCTAACAGTTTTTTCCCAGCATCCGTCTTCCACTCAAGCTGACTTGGATCCTATTTCTGGTGAGACTAAATAATTAATTCACAATGTATTTTATTCTATTACATTAAATATTTTTAAAATGGAATCTGCCCCATGATAAGATCAGATCAATGTGCTACAAGCAGAAGTCTTGTGAATTCTTATTTGTCACACTGCAGTACGATTGACATAGATCTGGACTGTGGAGTTTTCTGCACCTGTTGGTGACCTGTGGGAGTGAGAAATTGCTTCATAACTCAACTCACTGTAATTTTTGCTATAAAAAGAAAGTTGCAATGTTTCCATGTACAGTATCTCTGCATGCAAGCAAGATGGCAAGATGGCATGCAAGATGGCATTAACCACATTATGCAAGGTCAGGTTTTTTTTCTGCATACCATACATTGATATACATCACGCTTGAACGGATCTTCTCATCAGTTGACGCCTCTGCACTGTTCCACAGGGCCACTTCCCCTTCTCATGCTCCCAATTTGGCCCACCTTCGTTCATCTTTTTCCATTGCCCCCTCACTGTACTTATATGTCAATAATTAATATGCTGCGTCACTGTTTTTTCTTTGCATAACATAATCAGTCAGTGCTATTTATCACAACTATAGAAACGCATAAATATTTAGTGAAAGTTAACCTGACTTTTAATTGCTAAGTCAATTTTCAAACAGCTGTTTCATTTAAAGCCACAAAAAATCAACCTGTAATCTAAGCTATCAGGAGTGTTTTGTATATTATTTTCACAAAATAATTATTACAGAAATAAAAAAATTTTTTTTGCTGCCTTTGCTCTATCATTTGTGTTGATTTCAGTGTTGACATTACAATGCTGACTGTCCAAACTATAACCACATATGTGCAGATTTTGTTATATAAAAAGGATATAAGAGAACTAATGACTACTGAGAGCAGAAACATTATGCATGACTGTCTCTTTCCAACCATGAAATAAATACATAACATAAATGGAAACTGTGGTCTTTGACTGTTCCACAGACCACTGCTGAAGGGGAAATCTGGTGTATCAGTAAATGGCACACTAATAAGCTACATATTTACTGTATCTACCCTGTTGAAAAAACCAGCATATGCTGGTTAGGTATGTTTTGAAGCATGGCTGCTGGTTTAAGCTGGTCCTTAGCTGGTCATGAGCTGGTTTTAGCTGGTCATGTGCTGGTGCTAAGCTGGTCCTGAGCAGGAGCTATATGCTTAGCACCAGCTAAGGACCAGCTCAAACCAGCAGCCATGCTTCAAAACATACCTAACCAGCATATGCTGTTTTTTTTCAACAGGGTATATGGATAGTAGTCTATGTTAATTATTTATGCATAACCAAAGGCAAACTAAACATATAAGAAATGTGAAATCCATTAAGACTTTTGTGTTTCAATAGCTAAATCTCATGATAGCACAGTCTAGCTCTAGGCCTGTTTGTGTTAACAACCAGTGTAAAAATGCTATTTTATTTTTCCATTAAGATGTATTATTATTACTTTTAATATTTAACTAATTAATAACACGCATGCCAAATTAATAATTTATAAATTTTAAACGTACAGTTCTTTACAAAAGAACTTCTTTACAGTGTTTACGAGAACGCCGTGACGTCACCGTATACTTCCTTGAGCTTGTCGCGCAACACCGGCTAGCATGATAGCGCGATGCTGTTAGCTTCGCTACATCGATGTATTAACTAGTCGGTTTTATACAAACAAGCACAAATTACAGCCATACTGTTAGTAAACTCAGAAAGCATAGTGTATATGCAAAACAACGAATTTCAACCAGGAATAACCGCGTCTCGAGGTAGGACAAACATAGGAGAGCTAACATGGTCGCACAGCTCGAGTTTACTTTAAATTGTCGGTTTATTTCTATTTGTTGTTTAGTTTATCAGTGACAATCAGCCGAAATGCGTGAAGACGTAATGTATTTTTAATAAATGGACATGTGTTATCTTAAAAACACTATATAAACGCTTGTTTGTTTGATGGACATTTAGCAGCAAGTGACTGTTAGCAGGTTGTTTGTAGCAGGTGTTCTAGACTGTTTCAGTAGGCTGTATTTACAGTTAAATAGCTTTCAATGTCTAAAAGCCTATGTTTCTAGAATATGCTTCTAGTAAATCAAGAAACTTCTGGAAAGGTGGGGTGTGCGTGACAGCTGGGTATCAGTTGTGGCCTGTGTGTAATGTAACACTTTTCCTTCGCTGTGATGTAGTTTGTTATAGGATTTTACATGTTCAGAGGTTGACAGCAGGTTCTTTTTTTAACTTTCTGTCTGGTTATCATTGTTTTCTAGCATAATACAGACAGTATGGAAGAACATTCAAACAATAACATAGAGGTGACTGTGAAAACCCTGGACTCCCAGAGCAGGAGTTACACAGTTCAGGCACAGGTAAGCTGGATTTTTCGTATTATTCTCATTGTTACATATCTTTTATAATGATGACTTGGCATTCTGCATTTAACCACAATTTAAGGTGAAGAACATGTCTTGTGACTGCGGATAAAGACAGAAGTCCACTGTCTGCCAATTGTCTTTTGAATTTGACAGCTTCTCGTTTCGCTTCTTAGATGACCGTGAAAGAGTTCAAGGAGCACATATCACCCTCCGTTGGAATTCCTGTTGACAAACAACGACTCATTTATCAGGGCAGAGTACTTCAGGATGAGAAAACCCTAACAGAGTACAGTGAGTTGATTTGCATAAAAACAGCAGTTTCCAAATCCTTCGAGGGAACTCCATTTTTGACCTTGTGTGAATACGATTCCATATAAAGCAAATTTTGTCGAATTGTAAAGTGAAACTACACTTTTTTTTTTGGTCAACTCAGCATGTGCTTTTGAATAATGTTCCCTTTGCAGTCTTGTGACTCTTCTGTACTTGTCCCTGTTCATCCATCTCTGTCTAGACGTGGAAGGAAAAGTAATTCACCTGGTAGAGCGGGCCCCACCGCAGACCACCCAACAGGGCTCCGGCTCGGGTGGCGTACCAGGGCCCTCTGGGGCAACACAGGGAGGAAATCAGAACCCAAACTCAACCAGTAGCTCTCAAGGGACCCCTCTTGGGCCTACGCATGACCGCAATGCCAACAGCTATGTTATGCTGGGTACTTTTAATGTTCCGGTTAACATTATGGACCCTCAGCAAATTCAGGTAGAATCTTTTTTATACTCAGTATCACTTGTATTATTAGATTTTTGTTCTTTTTGCTTAATGTATTCTTATTCCTCAGATGTCCATTCAGCAGATGATGACAGGCCTGGGAGAGAGTGCGAGAAATCCACGTGTCAGTACCAGCACGGGGGTGAGGACCATTGTGAACTAAAGAGAGGCCTTTTGTTGTTGTGGAAATTGCATGCAAAAATAAATAAATTCATACTCCTATTCAACAAGGATGCATTAAGTTGATCAAAAATAAGGGTAAAACATTTAGAATGCTAAAAAAAATTATAGATAGAATGTTGCTCTTTTGAATTTTGTGTTCATCAGATATTCCTGAAAAAATAAATGCATCACAGTTTCCACAAAACTATTAAGCAGCAAAGCTTAAGAAATGTTTCTTTAACACAGAATTAGCATATTAGAATGATTTCTGAAGGATCATGTGACTGAAGACTGGAGTAATTCAGCTTTGCTATTTGCTATCTGCTATCACAGTCAACAACATGTTAAATATTAATATATTTATTAAAAAAACAGCCAGCCGTGGCTAGCATAAGCATATATACTGTATGTGTTTGTTGGTCAACCTCTTGGTTGTTTTAAAATGTGCTTTATAAAAAAAAAAAAAAAAAAAAAATATATATACACACACACACACACACACACACACACAACTAATTTACTGAAAAACAATAATGCCATATAATTCTTTCTTCCAGACCAATGGCTCTGTGAATGTTCAGATAGATTTGGACCAGTCATTACAAAGTGAGCCCAGACTGCGGCTGTTATTGGCTGAGAACTTGCTGAGAGACACCAATGCTGTGATCCAGAGACTGGAGGTAAGCTATATTCCTGAGAATTACCTTGCTTGGCTTATTGCATACTGTGGAATCAGGAAGAAATAAATGTGCATGTGCATTGCTTATTGATTGTTTGATTATTCCCTCATCTCTGCCTTCTTTCGTAGGGGCAGCCCGAGGATGGCTCAGCATCTCAGGAGGACTCTGCACCTCCACCCACCTCCGCCACTTCCACTACATCTCCTACTGTACAGCCCATGGACACTTCTCCTCCTCCGTCCAGTACCCCACCATCCTCTTCCTCATCCACCCAGACTGAGGGTACTCCACCCCCTCCAGCAGGCCTCAGGTAGGACCAGTTCAGTCATAATTATAATTGAATTATTTGCTTAATAATATAATAAATCCTGATTTATTAATATGAGCATGAGTATGTGACGAAATATTCATTTTTGGATTAACTGTTCCTTAAACGGTTTTGTTTTGCTAAGCATTTTTTGCTCCTATCGAAACATGCTTTTAATTAAATTGAAGTTAATGGAAGTTATGAGTCAAAAATGTAAGCCAAGAAGTTAAAGGAATAACCATCTTGCATACAGCAGTTATAATGTCACTCTGTCACTATTTTAGTCATTATTTATTCTTGTTAATAAGTTATTTAAACACAGTGGGACATTTTGGGGGTGTGTTTTTTAATAGGTCAAGGAATGTCCACTTGAACAGTTTATTGTTGATTTACTCTAAATCTGGTAAACTTCTTCCTCTTACCATGTTAAGGCTTTGGTATTGTGAGTAGAAAATCTGGTGGTTTCTAAAATATGTTATTGGGAGAATTACAGCCTGGTAATTATGATACATGTGACAATATTTATCTGGTCTTACCTCTATGATAATTCAATAAGAAAATCCACATGAAAAAAGGAAATGTACAAATTTTTTTGGGGGGTTAAATCTTTAATGTTTCTTAAACTATGACTGTGTACCAAATTTGCTAAATCTATTTGAATCACCAGTGAATTGCCACATAGAAAAGATAGATAAAAGATAGAAAGATAGATTCTGTTTCTTTCTGAAGGAATGACTAACAAATTGGAAAAGAATTGTGAGTTTCTGTCTTTAAGTTTCATAAACACCTGACAACAATGTTTCTTTTGTCTAATTTTACCTTTTGGTTTGGCCCCATAATGAAATTTGTGGGAAATGTACAGACACTTTAAAATCAACCGCCTACAACGTGAGGTGAAACAGAGAGAGTTCTTAAAACTGGGAGATTGAGGTTTGCTGTTGAAGGAGTAGGCATGAATTCAGTTCAGTCTACCTTAGAGATTGTTGACATTAGACATCAGGTTAAGAAATGTAGGTTTGCCGCCTTGATTAACCTCACTAATAGGAAACTAACATCTTGCTGTATATAATTCTATTTAGTAAACAATTTATATAAAACAATTATATCTACACTACAATCTGAAAGTTTGGGGTCACAAATATTTTTTTTAAATAGTTTTGAAGAAGTCTCTTATGCTCATAAAGGTTGCATTTAATCAAACACAAAGACTCTGAAAACAGTAATACTGTGAAATATTATTACAATTTAAAAACTGTTTTCTACTTGAATATATTTTAACATGCAATTTATTCCTGTGATGCAAAGCTGAATTTTCAGCAGCCATTACTTCAGTCTTCAGTGTCACATGATCTTTCAGAAATCATTCTAATATGCTGATTTGGTGCTCAAGAAACATTTCTTATTATTATCAATTTTGAAAACAGTTTTAGGATTTTTTTTAATGAATAGAATATACAAAAGAACAGCATTCATTTGAAATAATGTTTTTGTAATAACATGACAATGCTGAATAAAAGTATTAATAAAAAAAAATTGTACTGACCCCATACTTTTGAATGGTAATATAAATATACTATTATGCATGGTAAGTTATTATAAGCTAGCTTACTCTTAAATAACTATGCAATATCCTTGAACAAGTTTTTTTTAAGTAACCTCAAATTCCATAAAAGTCTCTGTTCATGTTTCCTCCCTTAGTAAAACAATGATTTTATTGTCCATTTGAGACATTGACTCCAAAGCATGTGATCAGTGTGGTTTTCAAAAACCAGAGTAGATGATACAATGCTTGAAATTCATTTGCTGTGTGTATCCAAAAAAAAGGGGAAGGTCCTGCGTGACTGAAACATTTGTTGTAGATTTTAAATGCATTGAGCACTTTAGTTTGCACATTTTTTGCATTTTGTAACAATAAAAGAATATTGATAGCATCTCGCCATGTAATCCTTTTTTGTATACACAGCAAATTAATTACTAGTATTGAGTTTTTTTACTCTTTTTGGAAGAATTTATGACCTGAAATCATGTTACATGTGGATTGAAAAGAGTGCAGGATCCTCAATTTTTTTTTAGTTGATATAATATAATACATAGAATAACACTGCACACAGATGATGAGTCACATTTTCTTGGTTTCATGTGCAGTTAATCAGCGCAGATGCGAACCATCAGTGGGAGTTTAGCTGTAATAGGATGTGTCTGCTTAGCCACTGAAAAGCGAAGCTCCCACTACTCCTGTATCCTACTCAGTTTTAAAAGTCAGACAAACCACCATTCTTACCACTAGTGACTTGCTTTTGAAGTGTCAAACTAAAGGTTATGTTTAGTGTAAGCTACCTTGTTTTGTTGACTAAGCAGAGCCTGTTTTGTTAAATTTATTCACTATATACTTAACCATACTCTACTTCACTTGCTCTTACACAGTAATCTATAAACCGAGTAGCACTTTGTGTAAGCCTTTGTTTTCCTCCGCTATAAGTGTATTAAAGTGATGCCCTGATGTTCAATGTTTAATGCAAATTGCATATAGAAACATTGATTTATGATAATCCTGTTGCTGCCTTTCCATCAGCCACCCAAGCCCAGCTGAGATGGTGGAGATGTTAACGGAGCTGAGGAGAGTCGAGGAGAGACTCCAGCCCTTCATTCAGAGAGCTCACCTCATTCTAGAGGCAGCCACAACTGCAGACTACAACAACAATGTAAGAAGCCCACTCATCATAAATGTTTTCCTCTATGTAGAGCTCAGGCGCCGTAATTACTTTGATGTGAATGAAAATGAATTTTGGAAGTGAGGCCACGATAAGTCATTCAGCCAGCATAATATAAAAATACGTCTTTTCACATTTTCAGTAGGCAATGAAAAATGAGATGTAAAAATTTGATTAGCGATGCAGTCATATATCAATATTTAGTGATTTGTTGTTTCACACGGTACTGCATTAACAGCTTAGATCCTGTAGCTTAGAATTAATTCCTCAATTCAGAATATGACAGTAGGTTGATTAATTGGTGTTTGTGCATCATTTCAGTGAATAGGTTAAATATTTATATCTGTTGTTTTTTTCTTTTTGAACAACAGACCCAAGAGAGGGATGAGGACCAACGCATTCTCAACCTCGTGGGGGAGGCCCTTCGTCTCTTGGGAAACGCCCTGGTCGCCCTGAGCGACTTACGTTGTAACCTCCTGAGCAACCCTCCTCGACACCTGCACGTTATCCGCCCCATGTCTCACTACACCTCCTCTGTGCTGACTCCAGCGGGCGTGCATCACCTACCAGTGCAGGTAAGGATGTGGTCTGTGAGACTCGTGCAGTGGGAAACATGTACTGCATAACCCTGAAAGTGAAAGTTTTGTAGAGCACTTCATAGATGAGTACTGAGGTGTTTTTGGTAGAAGTACATTTTCCAGAGTTACCGGAAATACTGAGACACAAGGTCTATAATGGTAATTTGTTGAAGTAGGCCTAATTAAAACATGTCAATTAACTTTTAACATTCTGCAGTTGAATCTTGGAACTACTGTGACTATGTCAGCCAATGGCAGACCAGTAGCTGATGATCAACCTCAGTCTACTGGCCAATCAGATCAGCAAGGCCAGGGACCAACGCCTGCCGCTCAGCCTGGTCCAGCCAATCAGCAGAGCGCACAGCCAGGGCCCAGAGTCATCCGGATCAGTCATCAAACCATGGAGCCTGTAGTGATGATGCAGATGAACATTGATGGTGGGTTTCTTTTGTATGTGTGTGTAAGTGGTGTAACCATTTTTTCCTTACTTGAATTTAAATGAATTGTTTAATGTTTCAGATTCTGGCAGTGCTGCACAGGCAAATGGACAACAGAATGCTGCTGGCACTGGACAGCCTGGTTAGTCTTTAAATTGTCTTTAAAAAGAATACAGTTATATTTATATACATGATGATAATAACATGTTCAGATTTTGTGTGATCCGCATCTGCACCATATGTAATGCACATGTTTGCATGTTGCAGGTGCCCCCCCTACTGTTCAGATTCCAGGTCTACATCCAGAATTCATGCAAGCCATTGTGCATCAAGTCACTCAGCAAGCCATGGTCATGGCAAACGCTGCCTCTACTGGCCAGCAGGGGCAACAGACCACACCACCTGCAGCAAACGTTGGCTCTGGCTCCAATCCAGCCCCCGTGCCCCCCTACCCACCTCAGGCCAGAGTGGTTTTCACCAGACCCTCCTTTACTCACAGGATGGCCAGCCCTACTTTTACCACAAGGGGGGCCACTATTAACCTCAGAGCAGCTGTGCCACCGATGATGGGCCAACAGCCGGGACAGGTGAATGAAATTCCCATGATATTTCCGGAATATAGAGGTGTAAATTCTAGACAGGAATGAATGTGTTCCACCACATGAATCAATGTATTATGAATTGAATTTTGAAGTGGTTTTGATTACAGTTTTTAATGAACTCTATATGATGCCAAGCCTACATATTTCCGCTAAAATCTCCATTGAAAGATTCCGCTATTGTATTCTCCCATTGCAAACTGTGGTAGTAGTTTCTGTCATATTTTTGTAATGAGTTCCTGTAAGCCTGCAATGTGCTGCACCAGAAGTTGCAGTTTGCTAAATTCAGAAGCAGTCATGCATTATTTTCAATTTTTATAGAAGTCCTAGCTCAGACTTGTTCATTGTGTGTTGGTTTTATACGGATGTGTGTGGTTCCTCTCAGGCTGGACACTTCCCTCCTGCTGCTCTGAATCAGATGGTTGGTGGACTGGTCAGCCAGCTTTTGTCAGGGGCTGCAGGGCAAATGGGTACAGTTGCATAAAAAACTTGAATTTATAATAATACATACACTGCTTAGTTTAAATTCAATAACATATAATGAGTTCTGAGTATTTTATTTGATAACTGACAAGTGGATCAGCTCAAATGAGATCATAGTCCTCTTGATGTACCTGATATTCTCTTAAGACTGAAAATGTTTTATGTAATACTGATGTAAAATGCCTCTTTATTAGGGCATAGTATAATATATTTTACTGTTCTATGTATCCACAGCCAGTCAAACCACCACTTCCTCCTCACAAACGTTCACCTTCTCCACGTCCACTTCTACAAGCACTCCATCCACCACCACGACCACCACAAGTGGCTCTGGGTCCACACAGTCTAATGGTACCAATACCAGCACTCCTCAACCTGGATCTGCACCGCCACCTCCTCAGGAGAATCCTTTAGGGGGAAACCTTGAGCAGTTGTTGGGGTCTCTACTGGGAGGAGCTGTTGCCACAGGCGGCCAGGGCCCTTCTATAACAGTCACCATGCCTGGGGTCCCTACCTTCATCCAGGGGGTCACAGACTTCATGCAGGTGAATAGTCTCCTTTGGCTATATAGACTTTTTTCCAGATTTTATTATTACAATACTCATCATCATTTTCAAACATTGATGCCATAGATACCATGACAAACTTATATGAATCCATTTATCTTGAGCAACATATCCTGAGGCTTTTCCCCCATTTTGGATCTCTACAGCTCCTGTTCACTTGCCAGAACACTAGATTTCTGCCTTTTTCTCACTGGTTTTTGTAATGCATGCTAGTGTGTATAAGACAGTTTTATGCATCTCTGTCATCAGGCTTCCCAAACACTTTTCTCTCAGCCTCCTGCGGGACAGCCTCCCACCTCGACCCCTACTGCTCCCACTGCCACACCAAACGCAGCCAGTGCTCCTGGGGCCGCCACAGCCGGTGAAGGTCTGAACCCTGAGCTCTTCACTGGGATAGTGCAGGGTGTCCTGTCCACCATGATGGGCTCTCTGGGAACCCCTCAAAACGAAACCGAGAGCATCGCACAGTTCATCCAGAGGCTCTCCCAAACTAGTAACATCTTCACCCCTGGTACTGGAGATGCTATGGGTGAGCTCTTTGGGGTTAATGCATTTCCTTAGTTCATTTCTTTTTTTTATCCAAGCAGAATGAGGAAAACTAAAGAACATGTGTATGTGTTTAGGTTTCTTCGGTGATCTACTGGCTTTGGTCTGTCAGAACTTCTCCATGGTGGACATGGTGTTGTTGCTCCATGGGCAACACCAGCCACTTGGTCGTATCCAGCCCCAACTCGCTCAGTTCTTCACTGAGCATTTCCTGCAAGGCCGTGAACCCACGGAGGCCAACATCATTGTAAGTTGTCTTTAGCAGTGTCAAGTGCCCCGATTCTTAATGCTGGTCCTGGAATACCCCCAAAAACTGGGGGTATTGTATGCCTCCCTAATCAAATACACCTGGTTAGACTCAACAGGTCATGTAATGGGTTCGTTACATAAGGGAAACATCTAAAATGTGACTGCAGTCTAAAATATTTACAATGACCTCCAAAAAGCATAACAACTGTGTTGGAGTGCCCTAAATATCTTGAATATCCCATGGTTTTGCTTTGACTACACTGAAATTCAAAACAGGAAGTCACTGTAGTTTGGTTGCTTTGAAAGTGATTTGCCATTTGCCTTGTCTGTTTTTACAAGTTACTAACCCTGACAGGATAATACAACTTCAACATAAACACACAGATTAATGTAAATGTGATAAAGCGTAATTGAATATTTTTGTAATTGAATGCGACATACAGGATGTTATCACTGACAGCAGTCAAGGAATGTACACACATCATTATTTGAAACTATTTGTAAACAATCTTGTATCACATCCCATTTCTTACTTTACACTTAAGTTTCTGAGGAGTTTATGCAGTTGTTTGATTCTGCATATTTGTCCTCTCCTGTACACTGTTTTTGTTTTCCCTGGTCTGATTCTTCAGTTTTCCCTATTTTCTGTTTCTCTTTTCATGTCTTATTTTTTCTTTCTGTTTTTATAGGCAGCTGCTGATGACTTAATTGCTGAACTTGAGGAGTACATCACAGAAAGTTTTGTAAGAATCCCTGGATTCTTTCTTGACTCTTTGAAAACTAACTATGAAAAGCTCTGTGACACTGGCAATTACTACACAAAATAAATTCCACTGATCTCTCAGTTTGTAACAAGTACTGTAAATGTAAAGTGGACATCTATACACTATATACAAGCTATATTTATTTTTTTAGAAAGAAATTAATTCAACAAGGTTGCATTAAATTGATCAAAAATAACAGTAAAGACTTCTATAATGTTACAAAATATTTTTTATTTCCACAAAATATTGTTTTCAGCATTTGAAGAAATGCTTCTTGATCACCAAATCAGCATATTAGAATGATTTCTGAAGGATCATGTGACACTTCAAGACTGGAATAATGGCTGCTCAAAATTCAGCTTTGACATCACGGGAATAAATTACATTTTGAATATTTTAAAATAAAAAGCAGTTATAGTAACTGCTTTCAAGGTTATGTTGAATAACACATTTGTATGGGGCAGTTAAGAAAATACAAGCTGAATTTTAAACTCAGGAATGTGTTGTGCCTAGACTTCCATTATTAGTGAATTACTGCAAACACAGTATATGATTTTATATGATACGAAGTCAAAGCATGCCAAAGATGATGTTGCTTAGCTTAAAGAAAATGAAAACAAGCTTTCCACTCAATGGAACTGATGCAAATTTGAGGTGTATGCTTCCTGTCCATCCCATCTAGTCATCCGTCGCAGTCCGAGATGGGGTAGATATCACCCAGACGAACCGGGCTTTTCTCAGACAACAACTTGTAGGCATTGCCACCCACATTCTGCATTGCACCGGTATGTCTAGACAAGAAGTGTCATGAGATCAGTCTCTATTTAGATTGATAAACTCAACATGCATTCACCAAATATTAGCTTATTATTAGCTTGCAGTTTCATTCTTTTATCATGTCCAAGGGCTCTGTAGGAATGCAGAAACTAAATTTCCACACAAACACAAAAACATGAAATACATTAAATGTGTGTTTTGTTTCTTCAGATCCAATGTTTGAACCACATTAAATGTGTTTTTTTTCCTTCAGATCAAACGTTTGGACCTCGGCTCCTGCAGCTGTGTAACCGTGCTCTCTTTGAGTGTCTTGCACTCAACCTCTACTGTCTAAACGGAGAACAAAGTGCCCTTACTGCCGTCATCAACCACCGCATTGTTAGTACCCAAAACAACTGACATCTGACTCCTACAACCCTTTTCGTCTTGGTTATTCTTTTATTGTTCATCCTACACCTACTCACTGTAAATAAAATTGCGGAGGAGACATTTCCATGTTGGTGGGGGCTTGCGTTGATGAAGGAAACTTAGCAATTAATGATAAAGGTGTTAGGGGTTAGACACATCAACACAGGATTTCACGGTCATGGAAAACCTGAAAATGTTAGGGGATATTAAAATAGTTATTAAAATGTAATGTAAAATTAAATGTACATATTTTTAACAAATAAAATGTACTCATCTTTTTTGTTAGGAAAGTATATGTATGTTCAAGTACACTCAATGAATCCCTAACGTGAATTTACTTGTCGCCTCTCTATTAGAGGACAATGTCAGCTGAGGTCAACCCTAGCCTGGTGAACTGGTTAACCAGTATGATGACCATGAGGCTGCAAGTGATACTGGAGCACATCCCCATCACAGAGGAACAGATCACTCAATACGTCATCCACACACAGGTAGATTCCACCAGTTATGAAGGTTGGTTAGTGTGGAGTGGTGGATGTTCGCATAGTCAAGATGGTCTTGGTTAACATACTGTGAACATTGTTTAGTTTGAATGTGGCCTGCTCATTCTATTTAGTCATTAAAGGGATAGTTGACCCAAAAATTTAAATTGCCCCAAGATTGCCCTCTCCCTCAAGCCATCGTAGGTGTATGTGACTTTCTTCTTTCAGACGAATACAATTGGAGTTATAAAAAAATGTCCTGGCTGTTCCAAGCTGTATAATGGCAGAGAGATGTTGAGATTTTGAAGTCCAGTAGAGTGCATCCATCCATCATAAAAAGTAGTCGACACTGCTCCAGGGGGTTAATAAAGGCCTTCTGAAGCGAACCAATTCGTTTGTGTAAGAAAAATTCTGGAGTCGTTTGTAAGAAAGTTTTACTTCCGCATCTGAAAAACAGCAAAACGAAAGTGACGTAACGGGAGGGAGCGTGGTCAATTTAAACAATAGGAAAACAATGGATCGCAATGGCAGTTCAGATGCTAAGGAAATTGTAATTGTTTATTCAAACGTGTATGATGGACCACAGCCATACAATTATGAGCCTTTTATGAGAGAGAATCGTATATATATATTTTTTTTATTATTGTGAAGTAAAAGGGATGAATAGTGATTCTCTCTCTTTGCGTGGACACAAAGACCTCTTAGCAAAGTTAATTCATAGTCGAGTTTGTGGTCACCAGGATCAATGGCACGGATACTATGACGATGCTAAAAATAACATTATTTTCTGTGTTTGGTGTAATCCAATGTGTTTATGCAGTTTAAGGTACAAAAAACACATTATTTTCCACATACCGTACATTATTGTTGTTCCTCTCTGCACTGCCTTTCTGAATCGCGTCGATTTTTACAAAGCTCATTGTTCTAAAAAGCACGGTGTGCTCTGGTTGGTCAGCTATCCAGTGTGTTGTGATTGGCCGAATACCTCAAGTGTGTGACAGAAATGTTATGCCCCTTACCATATTTGGAAACATAGCGACTCCACGACATGGCGGCGATGGCGACAATACTACAGCGAGAATAAAAGTTACGCCTTCTTTCTTTGCATATACATTTGGGCAGTGTTATGCAAATCTTCCAACACAGTGACGTAGATTCGTGGGGATGTGTTTGAAAGAGGCGTTTTAGGTAGGCGTGGTTGAGTCTTAACTCTTAGAAAGAATATCTCTTTGGCTTTGAGACTTTAATCTTTGCGACTTTACGGAATACAGCTTGTAACACTCCAAAGAGAAAGGAAAACATATAATCACGTCATATGACCCCTTTAATTATTATTAGAAGAATAATCCTGGACTGCCCCTGCTCTCCTGGCCACTTATGGCGCTTTTCCACTGCGTGGTACGACTCGGCACGGCTCAGTACAGTACGGCTCGGCTCGGTTTGCGTTTCCACTGCAGTTCAGTACCGCTTTAGAGTTCAGTATTTACACTAAATCTGTGTAGATTTGGCTTACATGAACTTCCTCAAGAAATTAATTAGTAAACATAATTTACGAAAAGTAACCCGCCAAATTGGCTAGTGATTTGACAGCGTTACCCGCCACAGCTGATTTTTACCCGCGGTTGGCGGGTGTTAATTTCAAACCCTGTTGGTAACGGTACGGTTCACTTGGAACCTCAACCGAGGTGGTACTAAAAAAAGTACCAGGTACTGTACCCAGTGGAAAACCCCCCAAAAGTGCAGTGGAAAAGCGCCAATAGCAGGCTCATAATTGTATGGCTGTGGACCATTATACGAGTAAAAATCAGGTCCTGGCATACTTTTATTTATTTTTTTTAAATGTCTCATTTCACTCAAGAAATATTACACCATGGATCTCACATTTTGCATTGACTTAAAATTAGGGATGCACCGGGCCCGCTACTGAGCTCCTGTACTCATTAAAATGCCCCGATATCAAATGCCGATACCACACAGCATGTGATAAGTGCCATATTCAGACAAAGAAACACCAACAACAGACAGCAGAATGGAGTTATTAGAGATTAAGGATGTCTACGAAGTATATGTATGCAGTGAATATAATGTTAAACATTCAGTTTTAACGCCTGTATAGCTGATTTACAATGAAATGCAATTGCTTTGCAGACCAGACATATACATACTTGGCTTTGGAAGTTTAACATAGGGTTGGGCCGATAGACGATGCCATCGTCCATCGCCGATTGCTGACAGACATCACGATGTTAAGCTGACATCGTGATTCCCACCCCCACCCCCTCTCCCGAAATCCGCCGCATCCCAGTTCCGTGTTCGGAAAGCAAATTAAGTGTACTACGGAAACCCTAAAGGGAATAAATAGCCTACGAGATGGGAGGATAAAAAAAACATTTCAATACTTTTTCTCGCAATTATATCGTT